AAAATAGTAGAGATGAACTGTACTAAAGTGCTTATTTGGGCCGGTTGGTACATGGTCAACGAAGTGAAAAAACAGCGCGTAACACAGGACACAGGACAGAGAAGAGACGAACGAGGCGCTGACTTACAACCAAAATTTATTTCGTACAGGGGTGTATATATAGCACACGAAACTTGAAAAAAGAGGGAGAGAAGTCGAGTGACATGAAAGAGTAATTTTCGTTGTGATTGTATGCGTATAACAAATAAACTGTGATTGCGCAATCATTCGCTTGTCAAATACGCCGATTCCCTGGTGAGGAGCGTTATCGAAGGTGCACTGACACACATATCGCCTTTTTTGATTATGCAGAATGCCTCATAAATCTCACGTGTCCTTTTATCTCTGTAGCGTCGAAGTATCTTGCATTTGTCAAACAATGCACGGCATCCACAAATGGAGCTGTGCGCAGCTAAGTGGCTGCCAACAGAACCCCGCATTAGATTGCGGTGTTCCCTGAGGCGGTCATTTATACAGCGGCCAGAATGCCCGATGTAACAGCGGCCGCAAGAGAGGGGAATTTCATAAATGGCACAAAAACAACATTCAACAAACTTGATTGCGTGTTTTTTATCACACACGCGAGGCCCTCTGTCCTCTCTGTTCACCTGATGGCACATACTAGAGAACTTATTTCTGGCTGAAAAAACAACTCTGATTCCAGCTTTTTGTGCTACCTTTTTTAAACAATGTGACACCTTATGCAAGTAAGGAATGACTGCTGTTCTTGAAAAAGAACAGCAGTCATTCCTTACTTGCATAAGGTGTCACATAGTATGTGCCATCAGGTGAACAGAGAGGACAGAGGGCCTCGCGTGTGTGATAAAAAACACGCAATCAAGTTTGTTGAATGTTGTTTTTGTGCCATTTATGAAATTCCCCTCTCTTGCGGCCGCTGTTACATCGGGCATTCTGGCCGCTGTATAAATGACCGCCTCAGGGAACACCGCAATCTAATGCGGGGTTCTGTTGGCAGCCACTTAGCTGCGCACAGCTCCATTTGTGGATGCCGTGCATTGTTTGACAAATGCAAGATACTTCGACGCTACAGAGATAAAAGGACATGTGAGATTTATGAGGCATTCTGCATAATCAAAAAAGGCGATATGTGTGTCAGTGCACCTTCGATAACGCTCCTCACCAGGGAATTGGCGTATTTGACAAGCGAATGATTGCGCAATCACAGTTTATTTGTTATACGCATACAATCACAACGAAAATTACTCTTTCATGTCACTCGACTTCTCTCCCTCTTTTTTCAAGTTTCGTGTGCTATATATACACCCCTGTACGAAATAAATTTTGGTTGTAAGTCAGCGCCTCGTTCGTCTCTTCTCTGTCCTGTGTCCTGTGTTACGCGCTGTTTTTTCACTTCGTTGACCATGTACCAACCGGCCCAAATAAGCACTTTAGTACAGTTCATTTCTAATACATCGGGCTCTGTTATATCCTACCCCTTTCTCCGCTCTTCCGTTGTGTGTATAAACCTGCTGGCTACTGCGATCTGCAGGACTCGTCTTTATACGTTCGCCTTGAAGAATTCGTCTCTGCCTCCAGATGTTCTTCAACTTTTTGGTGGTTTAGCGCCATCAAGGGGTCATGCTGACAGAATATGCCGAATCTTCCGGTCGGAGGCCTGGCGACAAGTGCGGTTCTACTCGGACTGCCTATATGCTGCAAGCATGGGAAATGCATCGCAAAACAGTGCTCTGAGGGCCTACCGCAGAGACCTGGGTATTGCATCCCGGACAGCGGATTTTCTTTGGAAGATGATATTTGCCAGCCTGCCAAGAAGAAAGAAGCAAACATGCCAATCTGGACAAGAAGTTGTGACTCTAGGGAACGCAAGCATCCCTCCTGGAGTAAAAAGCGCATTGGAAAAGGGCCCAAAATTTTGCGAGCCACCAAAATTGGACCAAGTAGAGCTTTTGAGCTTAGTAAGGAGCACGGCGGCACGAGCCTCTGTTGATAATAGAGACAGGTGCATTCAAGAAGGCGTGGATTGTTTGTTGCCAACAAAGCAAACCGGAACATCACGTCAGCCTTCCGTGATTAAGTCGCTACGCGCTGCAGATCTCAAGCTCCTTCAGGCGGACAAAGAAGGCGGTTTTGTCCTTGCCCCGACAACCGTCTACAAAGAAAAGGCGGACGCTGCTGTCACCGAAAACTTCCAAGTCGCGAATGTAAAACCTTCCAAGGTCAAGGCAACAGCTAGCAAACTTTGTGAAGAGGCTGGCCTTCAAAAACTGGCGTCATCAGTGAGAGCAGCGAGGGGTGTGAACCTTTCAGTGTTCTTTTCAGCAAAGACGCACAAGCCGGAAGTTCCCTTCCGCGTCATTGTCTCGGAACAGGGCACAT